TACCGATATCGCTGCTGCAATTATTACCGGCAGCACGGACGAACAGATATCACATACACGCATAAGCGCGCGTCAGTGAGCACGCACGCCGACGGCGGCGTCGGAGAGCGCGCGGGGGAGGGGGGGGGACGAAAATGTTCACACGCGTAGGCACGTATTGTAATGGGCGGCGAGCGCGCGCGCACGCTAACTCGACCGGCTGGTCGCCGGGATCGGTTTTATTATTATAACCGCCGCAGCCTCGCCACCGCCTGCCGCGCCAACGACTCTCTTCTCCGTCGTCGACGACGGCACGACTAACCCGGACCGCCGTCGTCGGTGGATAGGGCCGACGGGGGACTCGTCCACCCGGTTCCGTGTCGTACGATCGGACCGAGAATCCGAACAATTTTCGATTTTGTTCCGTCCAACTGGACGCTGCTATACTATTACGCGCTGCGTAGATGGTACGTTTTTTGTGGTCCGTTACGACGACTCGTATGGTTCGCGAAAATAACGCGGTAAATCGAACAAAAATCCCAAGTTTTTCGAAATTTATCAGGGAAATCAATAAATAAGTACGAAATGTAAACGATCTCGTACTTATTTTATCGTTGGGCTTATAGGAAACAAACAAATTAAATGTACACGATTGTTATTATATGTATATCACTAAAAACTTATTTTTCTAATCGAAGAAAAATATTAAGATTTTAAAATTAAAATACACTAAATACATCGATTCATCATCCAATCACACTCGGTTGGATTGATAAATAAAACATAATTTTATGTCCAATATAAACAATACTAATTTTATAACAAAGAACTCGTATGGGTGAACTTAAATTAAAACTTTAATCCACATACAGTAATTTGGTTATACATTCTTATGGTCAAATAGACCAATAGATGTACTTGGAAAATTGGGCGCTATAATAGTTCACGTTACATACGTATGACTACCAAAAAATGTATTAATGTAATAATGCATTTGAGTAGTACACCGACTTTAACTTAATACCTATTCTTTAAGTCTATCCATAGTGTTTCGAATATCTCAACGTTTTCACATATTATATATAATTATATTTAGTCTTAAGATAGGCATAACTATCATCATTTATAAATATATAACATATTAATTAAGATCAGAACAAATATTATTTTAACATTATTATTTTTTATTCTTAACATATACGAGTATTAACCATTGACTAATTTTTGTTTTATTTTATTATTTTACTACATATTCTTATTTATTCGTATTTATTTTGAAGACGCATTTTATAACTAAAAGATCATTTTCTTTAGTTACATATTAAATAAATTTACAAATTTAATAGCAATAATAATAATATATCATAACTTAAAATACACTTTTTTTTTAATTGAAGTTGATCATTCTTATTATTGTTCGTTTTAATAAAAAAAAAAATATGAAATTGGAATAATATTTTTAAATAAATTGCATCTTGTATCGATAAAATTACCTGATATTGTAACTCTAGAAATCGAAAAAAAAGTAGAAGATTCGACTTTTGACGATGTACACGAAAGAAAGAAATTGTAAGGTTTTTTGATCGTAGCGATGACTCTTAATGGGCCGATGAGTTGAGGAAGAATAGAATTGAATAGAATTAATTTTTTAAAAGTTAATATTTCAAAAGAAAAATAATTTTTTACCAATATATCATTTGTTGACTATTAACAGTTCATAGTTAATAATAATAAATAATTTCATTCAAATATTTACTTTATCACCATTTTTATTAATATTTTGAATTACAGATCGTTTTATTTAAGATTTCAAAATCTCAGTCATATTTTTTATAAAAGTACTTTATATATTTTATTGTATATTATATATATTTACAAGATGACTTTAAGGTTTTGAAATCTTAAATAAAATAATCTATAATTCAAAATATTATAAAATGGTTAAAAAATAGTTCAATGTTTTTAATATTATTATCATAGAATTTTATACAAATAAAATATATTTTCGCATAATAAAATTAACTAGTTCTCAATTTTTGAATTACATAACTTAAAAAAAAATAGTAGAATAATATCGTTAAATATGATGAAAATATAAGATATTCGTTTAATTTGCACGTGTTTATACTACCTATTTATACACACTCGTTACAATAAGAAAACCATGAAGGATTAAAAGTTGGTTTATTTTCGAAATTCGTGATTTGTGTTTTGAAATCTAATTCTTTAGAGAATGCACTGTATAGAGTCTAATGTAATGGTCAATTCATGAAATAAATAATATCTCTATGTAGATTTTTTATTATTCGGTTTTCTATATATTTTTTTTAAATTTAAACGCGGTTATAATATTGCAATCCACCAATACTCCTAGGTGCATGACTATATTTTATTAATTTGTATATATTTGAATATTGGTGTTAATGTCGCCGTACGTTTTCCTTAATACTACTGACTCGTCCTTAATAATACGGTATCAAAACGTGAATGATTAGCAAATAATGGATATAGTTAATGCACACCCCACATTTATAATAATAAATTATTAATTAGAGAATAATTTATGATTACTTAAAAATATATAAATACTCAAGTGTATTTGCGTAATGTTAAAATTAATACAGAAAAATAAGTAAAAAAATAAAATATATTACCCTTTTACCATCCTTTTGATTAGAATTCTGTGAGAATAACAAAGACGAGCTAGTTACAATGGGTTCCCTCTTACTAAAGGGATGCACAGTAGCCGTAACAGGCGACGAGGTTGCTGTAGAAGATGCGTTATTATTGTTATCGTGGATTCCTGCGGAAGACGTCTCGGACACTGGTATGACAGGCAAGGAGTCCGGTTCACATTTTCCTGTCATCATAAACACGCGCGCGCTTTATAATAACAAAGTAGGACGACGTCACATGATGTTGCAAGCGCATCTGACGTGTGACTACTACTGCTGGCCTGGTGGTGCCGCGGCGGCGGTTCCCAACGGTAATGAGAGAAGCGAGAACTCGACGACGCCGGCGGCGGCGGCGGCGGCGGCGGCGGCGGAACGGGTGACCCGACCGCAGTGTCGACACCTCTCTCCCTCCAACCATGGTTCAACCCCACGCCACCGCCCGCACAATTCACCCCAACGACGGCCGTCTCGTCACCTTCTCCGCCAGCAATCCCTAACACCCCACCGCACTGCTCTTTCTGCGCGTGAACGGTGTAATAGCCGTGACGCCACCGACGACCCGCGCGCGCTTTGGGCGCCAACGGCACGCCCACCACCCTCGCGATGATATTAAATTATACGAGAAATCCTCTCGTTTCACCTACCCCTATATATATGCCTGTGCGAAATATGACAAAAAAAAGTTTATCTCCGAGGGATTTATACTATTGTGAAACTGTGAACTAAGATTTTTGAAAATGGTATAGGTAAAAAAATTATATCCAAATGAGTCGACTATAGCGCATTGTCTACCACGTAAAACACATTGTCCACATATAAACATCAACACTTATTGAAGTTCCCTAGAATTTTTTTAAAAAAAAAAAATTATACTATTACTTGGTCAAAACTAACTACTTACAAATATTTATTGTCCTCAAAAAAAAATTTCGATTTAGGCAGGTACAATACACAGGAGTTAGATTAGCCTCTTGTATGCGTGCGTGTTTAATTTTTAAATAATTTGGACAAGTAGCTTTATTCTAAAGCAGACAAATTGTAAAGGATTCTTGAAAAAAATATTGTTAGTTGATACTTGGAATATTTTGGATCTAATGACAAAAATTTAAATTTACTTATTACTCATGTAATTTCATTATGTTAACTAGAAGCAAAAATTAAAAAAAAATAATTACTCGTCTAATCAAAACGAAATCATCAAATTTGTTGACAATTTATGACACATTACACTACAAAATTTTTCAATTCACAAAAAAATAAAGAAGTTTGATTTTGTTTAATTTTATAGTTTTTCGTAAAACCCTTTGAGATTATTAGAAAATGAACTTGAATCGCATATAAATTATTTTTAAAATATAAAATAAACCAAAATACACTATATTAATACACTTAATACTTATTGATAAATATACGCGCAACTTTTGAAGTACTTTTAATTTTTTAGACAAAATTGGTATGGATTTATAGCATAAATATATAGTTGTAAAATAAAAATACTAAGTTTTCATAATTCGTTTTATCTATAATATAAATTCTGTACAATATACCTTTACCATAGTCTAAAGACAAATTTTATGAAAAAATTATATTCATGTATAATATCTTAGAAATTTGGTTTATAGAGGTATAAATACTAATATAACTATTATACTAACAGGGTTACAATATTAATTTAGGTGCTTTATTTTAAAGGCATGCAAAAGTATAAGTTCGTATAAGTTATACGAATATCGTATATGTTCACTTATACGATATTCTAGATAATATATATTTTTTAAATCAAGAACTACTCCAGTGTATTTTATAAGGAATTATCACTGGGCGACAAAAAAATGTTTTTCTCAAAATAGTCATTGTAATACCATAGTACGATTATAGTATTACACGTTTATTTCGCATTATTTCGCCCAATCTTTCAAAATATTGTCGACAGCGTATATCACTGGGCGATATTTGTGTCGTCTAGTTAACTAGTTAAAAAATGCACTGAACTACTCGTATTATAGAAATAATACATGATTATTTTTATTTATAAAATATTTGAAACGTAGTAATATTTGCTACTTGTTATATTTTTATAAAATTTTAATTTTTAAAAATGTGAAATAAAAATTCACAACCAGGTATTAAGGCTATAAATGTATATAATATATTATATTAATATATTAACTTTTTATTTAAAAATTTCCATTTTACGTTTTGTTAATATGGATATTAATAAAAAATTAAGATATCTATTCGATATATTCATGATATATTGATATATGTGCCATATGATTATTTTGTATAAAATCTTGATGTCCATATAGGAATCATTGAATTATTTTCTATTTTTACGTACATCGTAAAAAAAACTTTATTTCAATAATTTTCAATCCAAATTTCGAGTGTGATATTCATATTTCCTCCAACTATTTCTATATTCTATATCCTGAATATAAATAATGATATAGATTATAAATTATATTGTATAAAATCAGTTACTATGATTATTATTTCAAAATTTGAGTTGTACCAAGTAAGCTTTTATAAATCGATTTAAAATAATGAATACTGCTCAATTTTGAATATATTATACATTTTATTACATAATTTCATTAATATTTTTGGTAAAATTTGTATATAATACACGTTTAAATAAAGTCAACTGTCTGTAATGTAATTTTGTAATCTAAAAAAAAAAATTAAAAGTAAAAAACAAAACGTACTTAATATTATCGAGTGTAATTTGTATAAGATTGTTAAGGTAAAATATATTGGAATAGTTAATATTTATTTAAATATATAAAATAAAATATTAATAGTATGTGACTAAAATAAGAGTGTAATTAAATTAAATATCCATGATTTATCAATTCTGTTACTTTTTGTGCTATTGATACTTTTGGAAAAAAATGTAAAACAAAAAGTATAAAAATTGCAATGAAAACACTTCTAAACTTAACAGTACAAATATTATTTCAAGTACTGTTACGTATACTGTTGTGTATAGTCTTATAAATTTTAGTGAGAGTAGTTTTTTTCAAATATAATCAATATATTTGTTTTAGGTTAAATGAGTTACTAAAAACTTAGAATTTATGTGCGTTGGTTTTTTTTTTTTTGTTATTATTATTATTATTATTATTATTATTAGATATTTAGTTGTATTCTATACATTATTTTAATATTACGTCTTTTCCAACTTGACTTGAATAGGAGAACATAATATATTAGGTGATATTATAACCTTACACATAGTTTATCTCAAAACGTTTTAGTGCAGTACCTGTATAGTATGTACAGGTACATACGCATGTAAAGTTAATTTTGAAAATACCTGCTGGTATAATAATATTATGTTGACGGAGAGTGGCGAGGAAATAGTGAAATACCTATGGTGATTTTTATTTCAAAAATGAAAATGTAAAAATCAAAAAATAGTCAAAAAATAACAGAAAACAATTAAAACCGTACAGAATGTTTCGTTGTAAATCAGATACGCTGTGCGCGACAGACCGTGTCAGCGTTTTCCACCGAGAGCGGATGCACGGGGGCCCCAGCGGCGTGTGTAATGAGTACACGCGCCTCGGCACAAAGCTTACCAACGACCACCGCCACCGCCGCGCACCCCTCCCTCCACCACCACTACCATCGCCACACGCCACAAAACGCTGTGCGGCGTTCCGGGGATTTTATGGCGTGCACTGTAATTACACTATGGGTAGAAACGGCCGGGGCGGTGGCGGCAGAGGCCCGGTCACAGGTGTCGGACAGCGACTATAACTTCTTCTTCTTCCTCCTGTTCCTGCACATCTACCAGTCCGCTAGTCCTACACGCACCCATCGGGCACAACGCGTAACGGATCCCATAACCGGTCGTAAACGATAATGACATAAATATTCTACTGATATCGTCGGTACATTGGCGTAAAAAATATATGGAAAAAAACCTGAAACGCTATGGTACCATACAGATGAAATATTATACCTATACGTATCTACTGTGGACCAGGTCGTACCAAATAAAATTCAAACCTACAAGTTTAAATGAATGCAGTTTGTTTCTCACTTGCGCACCTTAGAACGGTGTGAAGATTTTTTTTTTCTGATCGCAAATATTTTATAAACTCTCTTAGACGATAATCTCCAAAAAAAAATTATCTAAGCGAACAGGAAAGCTTTATATATATATATATAGAGAGAGAGAGAGAGTTTTTTTCTCACATTCTATGTATGTATATATGTATATATATGTGTGTATGTATGTATACATATTATACATACAGACTTTTTTTCTCTCTTTTTTTTTTCCTGATCCTACGGGTATTAAGCCTACTGCGGTCCAACTTCCGGTGACTGGGGAAACGGGTGTTGGGGAAAGAGGGTTACGGGTCTCTAGGGCTTATCCGGAACGGGCGTGACGGGTTTAATAAATGGTTGAAGAGGCACCTCGGTTCAAAGCGAACGCGGCAGTGACGGCGATAGCGTGTAGAGTCCGACGTGTGGATGAGGCGGGACCGGCGCGGGGTATCGAACCGCAGCGGTAGTCGCGTGCCATAAACCTCCCGCCAGCAATCATCTACGGGCAACTGCCACCTGGTAGAGGCATCACATACACTACACCGCGCATAACACGACCGAATTTATGAAACGTGTAGGACGTGTGATAGTACATTGATTTTAAAATCTTCGGAATGAATTTTCTTGAATGTTTTCATGCATTTAATGCACAGTAAAATTATTAATATAAATCTCAATAGCAATGACGAATAATATTGCGAAGTATTATTTTTTACCGACCGATGTCTGCTTTTAAAAATATTTCACAGTAATACGTCTACTGTTATTTATTCGTGTAAATGCGAATACATAATATATATATATATAATATAGATGGATAGAAGTTATAACTTGTATAGCGATCATAAGTATAACTATATTATTATATTAATCATTTTATTTTATACCTATTCAACGACGGATCCTATACTCCTAGAAGTAAATGCTTAAATTCACTAGCATACACACAATATGTTTCAATATGTCATGAAACATGATATTTAAATTAAAATATTAATAATAAATAGTAAATTATATTATAATACAGTTGATTGAATTATTTAGCCGCGTATTATTTATAATCTATATACACGCAGAATGAATATAAAATGTATAGATTTGTTAATGAAACTTCAAAAATATTTATGATCAATGATTATTAATAAATAAATAATATATAATATCGTGCACGTACAATATATATGATATAATATAAGTTTAAAGAATTGTATGAAATATAAAATATGTTATTTTTATAGGCACGCCTCAAATGTGTTCAAAA